GGAGCGGGCTGAAGTTTCATAATCACACGCTAATAAGATTATGCAAACTCTGCCATTCTGCCACCTGTATAAAACACAGCACACATTCTGTGATCTCTCTGTGTGTGTGTGTGTGTGTGTGTGTGTGTGTGTGTGTGTGACGCTATCAAACTGTCTGAGGAAAAGTGTGTGGGTGGGATGGTGTTTGCCATATGTTATTGTGTATCAGACTGCGTGTGTGTGTGTGTGTGTGTGTGTGTGTGTCTGTGTGCATATTTATTTTACATGATTCTTCAAGTGAGTATGTTTGTGTGAATGCGTGTGCATATAGAGTTTAAAAAGCCTTGTTATAATGCATAATTAACTCTGATCGCCCGCACCCTTACCCTCGCTCTCTCTCTTAAAGCATCAGCTGCCGGGGAGCAATGAGGCACACAAGCTGGTCCTTCTGCTCCGCCTCATTGAAACAGCCTATCAGAAGCTTCACAGCTTCAGAACCAAAATCCAAACACAGTTCAACTGCCCATGAAGTCTATAAACCACAACGTGGCATTTAAGATGCAAATGAAATGAAATAATTCCAAAGTCCTTATAGGAAAGTCTGTCCTCTTGGCAGAAATTTTAGCAGCACCCTCAGGCAGTTATATCCAGCCTCACAAGACCAGGCTCCTATCTCTGTGACCATGGAAAGACCTATAAATCCAAAACTGATAGCCAGGCTAACGTTTCAAAAGACTTGAAATCTTTTGAAGTCCTAACAAAAATGACATAAATGGTTTGTAGCGTTTGGCCCACACAGACTGTTCTGGCTAGAGCTGGGTATCGCAAAAAAAATGCTGAAACCAAGGTAAAGTAATCTGATGACATCATGCAACTGCACTACCACCATTTTGGTAGACAACTTCAAGTTCATTCAGCAGTTTGTTATAAAATAAACAAAGCCATGACCAATCCAGTAAAGGCAGTAAAACATTTCTTTGTTGGAATATTCAGTTTAAATCTCACTTTAAACTGAATATTCCAGATGTTTGCTTCTTAGGGTGTACTCACACTATGCAGTTGCCTTGTACCATGCACAAGCATGACTGTCCCCTGTCTCCACTTCCCCACTGGCCTGTGCTCACGTTGCGCTTAATGTCCCTGGCCCGAGTATGCTTACATCATCACAATGCAACTTTTTGTGTTGAAGAAAAGCGCTCTCACACAGCACAAAGTAGTTCATGATTGTATATACTTTGTGACTTATTTGGAGTTGTTTTGAGTGCGCTGATACACAGCCCCCTCACATGCAGACTTACCGATGATGCAATGCAGCGATTTTCTGTTCAACGCACCGCACGTAAAATAAGATTTTTACAGAGGCAGCTGACATGGAGAGAGGAATCTGCAGCTTTCTCACCAACTACAATTCACGTTCTTCAATAATGTGAGAATCAGAGCTGTTATTAACCCAAATAGTATCAAATGAATCGAAAAGTTGGACAATTGCGTCACTGACGTCATGTTTCAGTTCCATGGGCCTTGATAGTGATCACACTAAATGCGTACTGTGCCTGGATCCAACTTCTTCAAGTGGGCCCTGACACAGTGCGGAGCGTTCACACTAGTTAAACTGGATTTTGGGATTTTTCAAACCTGCTTGGGCACGGTGCAGACTGCCTAGTGTGAGTACACACTTATTCTCCACCTTCTTTTCAAAATTAATTCATATGAGACGCCTAAATTTAACCACCATTTAAGGTAAAGCGGAAAATTTGTGTGGTTGGTAAAGTGTAGTGTGTAACATCTCTGCCTTCTACGTTGTAGACTGGGGTTCAATCTCTGTCTGGGTAAGCACCCTACACTATACCAATAAGAGTCCTTGGGCAAGACTCCTAACACTGCCTTCGCCTACCTGTGTAAACTGATCAAGTTGTAGGTTGCTCTGCATAAAAGCATCTGTCACATGACATAAATTTAATTTGAATGAGCAGCTGGCGAATAAGAAGGTAACTCCAGCCTAAGTGTGTTTATAATTTAAGAATATTGTCAGTTGTGGCAGCTATTTCTATTAGTTATTTAAAATCTCATGCACTGGAATTCAGTGCAGGTTTTTACGGATTCAGTCCACCAATCAAGCTAATCTTCTCCTTGTAGCGTTTTCTGGAGACAGGATTCACCTGCCCACAAGTCTATAATAATTTAGGGCTCCAGACCAACTTTTTTTTAGAAACCATCCCGAAAAACACCGTCAGCAGTCATAAAGTGAAAACTGACCGCCCAAAATACTAAACTGCTCTGTTTAATTTTTTTTGTAAAATTGCTGATTGTTGAAAAGCATGAATTTTCATTCTATCACCCTGCTCTGTAGCTTCTTAAAACTGTGTAAATTATGCTTAAAATGGTTTAATCTCTGCTATATCTCTTTATCTATGGCTCTGGTGCTATGGCGTTAAAATTGAGTGGAGGAGTCGACTCCATCCACTCCAGCGGCAGGACCCGAGAATTAGAGTCAACTCCAGAAAACCCAGTGTCGTGCATCACTAAGGGAGGGTGTACACTACACAACTTTCAAAATCCTAAGAGATTTCCAAAATGCAAAGCATCACAAACTTAATGTTGATTTTTCTGTAGTGGAAACGCAACATGAAGATGAATCCGCAGTTGAGAAATGCAGACCACAGAAAGAGCCAGAGAATATTTCACTACGAATGGACACCTGAGTTGAGACTGTAAAGAGAGCGACGTGACGTCCGAATCCATACATTATAAACACGAAGGCTTTTATATGCTTGTGTTCAACAAGCAGCCCCGGGTCTCCACGGCCCGCCGCTCATGTGGCGCGCGTACACATCTCTTCGGCTTTTTTCTCCACTCTTCTAGCTCTCTCTTTGTCTGTTAGCTGAATCACTCGTTCTGTTACATCACTGTCCATCTCATTCCGCATGACTCGTGAACGTCATAACATCTATGTTAACATTTTTGGCTAGTTTCTGGCTAGGCATACAAACTGTGTACTACATCCTGTACTACTGTAAAGTACTGCTGCTGGATTGCTTTAACATAGTAAAACATAGTAAACATAGTAAAACGCTAACAGCGTGATATACACTTGTAATGTTTATATGTTAGGCCACAAGCTGTTAGCATGATAGGTACAGACATAAGCTAACACTAGAAACCACTCATGATTGGAAATGCAGTTGCTACTGTTGCTAGTGTTACTCTACCGTCTTCACATGGAAAAGAGAAGCACAAGTCTTCATTTTTCAGGGTATCGAACAGATACCATAGGGTATAACTGCACGGTCAAAATAGTCACTGTACGTTTATCAGATAGAGATTATACAGAAGAACAATGAAAGAGTGGGATGTTCACTCCAGTAAAGAACAACAACAACAACAAGAAAGGCCAAAGGAAAGCAGAAATCATTTTCTTTTGTCGTCTCTCATTCCAATTTCCGTCCTTTCCTTTCTCCTTGTGGATCTTTTACCTCCTTCCACACTTTTCTTACAATCCATTTATCTCTCTCATTTACAATCTGCCTTCATTCCCCCATTGTCCTGCTCTTCTTTCTTTATTTCTTCTTTCCATTTCTCGCTCTCTCTTTTTCTCGCTCTATCTTTCTTTCCCTCCTCTGCTGCATTTTCCTCACGACTGCCGCAAAGGACCAGCCGTCATAAATCTGCCCCTTTATTGCAGCTGAGGAGAGAGGGAAAGAGAGAGAGTGGGGGGGCGGGGGGAGAAAAGGAGAAATGAGATATGGAAGAGAGAGAGAAAGGGGGAGGAGGAATATCTAATCACTGAGCATGAGACACGGACCCTGATGAACAGATGAAGAGGGGAGGCGAAGGTAGCAGAGGAGGAAAAGTGGAGAGAGAAAGACACACAAAGAGGGGGGGAGGAGGACTGGAGAGACCAGGGACATCATTAACGAGCATAATTTACAGGTCAGGCACTAGAGAACTCTCCTAGAGATAAAGACAAAAAAGCACATACACACCATTCCTTTGCACAATCAGGCAAGCTCATCTAGCCCGTCCATGTCTGACAAAGAGAAACCTTAAAGGAGACTTGTTAGACTGAGTGATCGCCTCTACTAAATTTCAAACCCCTCGTTAGCTTTAGATCACTCGAGCCACGCGCTTAAAATCATTAAGCCTGTAGACGTGACATTCGAACGATTAGTAATGGAGACTCGAAAATCCTCTCATCCCTCTGACAGATGAGGTGGAGAGGTATCCTTTCTTCTCCGAGATAGATTGAGGAAGGGAGAGGAGGATTTTGGCAGCCACAGGGACACCGGGGGCTGCCGCATAGACATTAATATATTAGAGAGTGTCGATTTCCTATTCCGAGAGCTAGCTGTTGCTGGGGCAACGGCCACCATTACTGGCCCACTGCACAACACAGACATAAAATATAGAATTATGGGTGAGCGGGGTTTTAGAATGGAATTATGGGCAAGCTGGACTCCACTATGTCTCTGGGCGAACAGTCAAAAGCGGAGGTGCCATCTTGCCTTGATCTTTTTCAGCCTGCTTTAGTGGAAACAGCAAAAAACAAAATGGAGGGCAAGATCTGACAATTTCAGCTCCCCATAACAAACAAGATCTCATACAACACCGAGCAGCCATAGAGAACATGAATGACTGACGGAGTGCTTAGCGATACTTCGGCAGACCTTTTCAGGTATGTCACCTACGGTCATAAACCAGAGCTTCACAGTGCTATTTCAAGAGCACCCGTCCTACAGTTTTGATGTTTTTTTCTTCTCTAACACACCTCATACCTCACATCAGCTTTTTAACAAGCGATTCCTGAGTTGATGTGGGTGTAATTAGAATAAGGAGAAGGCTTAAATTTGTAGATCAGGGTTCGTAGCCACTACAACACAAGACTGGAACAACTGTATGACTTTTATGAGCAACACCATCCCTCAACTTTCAAACCTGACATGTCCCAAGTTCCAACAAAACTCCACCGTTTAGCTTTAGCTAGTCCCAAAAAAGCCTTGACAGAAACCAATCTAGCATCTTACCTGCGCATGTTGCTGTATCGCACTGTATGGCAAACCCTGACCAAGCACCTTCTGCTTCATCATCATCATTCTCTTCTGCTCTTCAGTCAGATGTGCTGTCTGGCCAGGTATGGGACCTTGAGCTGGTGGTGGCCCTCCACCCTGTCCCCCCTGCTCCTTGCATGTAGGGCATTATGGGGTTTTTGGCCTGGTTGGCCATGGGTGGGGTCATCCGCTGACTCATGTGGTCCACGCCGCTGAAATGACTCAATGGTTTGGTGTTGCTGTAAGAGAGCTGTTTGTTCAGGGCGTTCTGGGCAGCCATGTTGGCAGATTGCTGCTGCTGCTGCTGTTGCTGCTGTTGCTGGTTCAACATGTTCATGTGGTTCTGAGGGAGGTAGTTGTTCATGCCAGCTTTGGGCATCATAGAGTTAGGGGCATTGAAGGCTTGTGGGTACATCATGGGACTATTTGGCTTGTCAGGATTGAAAGGTCCACCATACGGGCTTGTTGGCGCTCCTGCAGGGGACCAGCTCGCAGCCTGTGACTGCTGTTGATGTTTTTGTTGGATGAGCTTGGCGCGTTGCTGTTGTTGCGCTGCCATTTGCTTTAGCTGTTCAGCAGGCGAAAGTTCGGTGGTTGGTGGAACAGGAACAGGGACTGGTCCACTTCCTCCTCCTGGTCCAGGACCACCTGGCGCTATCGGAGTTGACCCTCCGTGAGCTACACCTGGCCCTGGATTCATCATAAATCCATTCCCAGGCCTGGCGGTCTGCGTCTGAGCCTGCGTGGGAGTTTGTGGTGACCGGGCAATGCAGTTGGCAGGCGACCCTGATGCCATTGCAACTGCTGGCGACTGCTGCAAGGGTTGCTGGGGCGGTGTGCCATTGGCAGCAGTGGCGAATGGTGGGCCAGAAGACGCTGGCCGCACCTGTGGTGAGCCTATAGACATCTGCCCACTCTGTGTTTGTGGTGGGTTATTGGGCGCTGCGGCAACTGGAGGAGGTGCAGGCTCCTGTGGTTGCTGTGTTTGCTCTGATGCGGGACGTGCAAAGTCACTAACCTCCTTCTTCTCCTCAAAGTCCTCATTAAAGAGGTCGTGCATGTCATCTTCTGGAACCGTGTTTGCCAGCTCATCAATCAGCTCCTGCCACTCCTGATCATTCAGGTTAATGTCAGAGAACAGCTTGTTCTGATTGGACAACGACGTGTCAGATGATTCTATCCCACTTGGGTCATCCAAAGGCTCAGGTTTTATGTCTTTCAGAAGGCTGAAGCCATCATCTAGATCTAACGATCCATTCAATTTAATGTCCGGCATGCCGCCATTCTTGCCCAAATCCTCCGTTCGCCCTGTAATGTGGTTGGTCCCAGCATTGCCGTTACCCATTGCATTGTTATTAGATGTTGCGTTGTTACTTGTAGGTAATGTGGGTTTGATGTCTATTTGGTGAAGTGGAGAGATAGGGGGTACACTGCTGGACAAAGTGCCCAGAGAGTCCAGCCCACCATTACCCTCTTTACGGAGTCTCTTTGTTGTGGGAGAGTAGCTTCCATCACAGATCCCATTCTGGTCACCATTTAGTGGAGATCGAGCACTGTCCAACTTTCTCTTCACTGTCTCTTGGAGCTGAGAAAGAAAGAGAGAGAAAGAGAGTGTTACTAAGTTTATAGAAATTTCAAGGCTAACTTGGGTAGCGTTACTTTCAAAAACAATGGCCTTGGTCAAGGTGTACATTGATTAATTATGCTCTCAGAAAGTTTGTGTCATTCTCCTCAAAAAGGCAAATTCAAAAGACGTTCTTAAATTAAGCAGGGGGTTTCTGCTAATTTCTAATTGATTTTGACATTTGTCAAATGAGAGCATACTCTCTGCCTTCCATAAACGGCCTACAATTCCCATAATTCCATTGGCTGAGAGTTCTATAATCGGTGCAGATGCTTGGGCTTAAAGAAAGGCCTCTTGAGAGGTAATTACACTCTCATTCAAAGCAGTTAACTGCTCTAAGCTTTATGGGGAGGTCTTTCTAAATGGAACTGCTCTTTTAGCAGCACACAATCCTCTGTCACTAAACTAACTACATATCTCACACACACACACACACACACTACATCTGCCTCTTCTTACACTAGTCAGAAGGAGGATCACTCAAAGAGAACAACAAGGTGATAACAAACCCCAGTTAGCACTTAATCATTATCATGAGAGCCAGAGTGAGCGAGTGAGAGAGCAAGTGAGGCACAGAGAGAGACAGAGAGAGGAACAGAAAAAGAAAGAGAGAGAGTGAGTCAGGTGCAAAATGAAATGGCATTTGAAAAAGCTTCATTGTTCACACATGGGCAAGCCCCTATCACACTCGCGTTCCCCTGCTTAATTTGTCTCAGCCATTAAGTTCTGTCTAAGCCACCCTTCACAAGCATGTCAGACAGACACACAAATGCAGAAACACACTCACACAGACAAACAAGCTTTGAACCAGTTCTTAAAGTGAAGACTTGTATTGTTTAAATGGAGTTATACAACAACTGAAGTTTAGATGGAAGACCATGACTGCAAATCCTCTGTTCTAGCTGGTATATCCCTAGTTTTGAAGACATCATTCTGGCTATCATCAAGAGGGTCTGCAGGACTTAGTCACTCTAACCAGAAAACCAAAGACCTTTGTTTTTACATGATGTGTAGGTGGCCAGTGGGGGGGTTAGGGGTGTCTATTCTGCCATTCGCAGATTCTACTTGCTAAAAGAAAGTCCAAGCAGAGGGGGCAGAGAGATGGAGAGTTGTTTCACTGATCACCAATAGATTTGTGCCCAAACTGAGACAAGTGCAACCGAGGGAACGCGGGGTGGCAGGGGTGAACGCGCAATCGCAGGGGTGGAGAGTTATTCTGTTGACAGCGAAACAACTCTTCACAGCAAGGTGGAAGCCCATGACATGCCAGAAACTTTCGAGTGGCATCTGGAGTGGCAAATTAGATTTCAGGGAAGGCCCTGTCCACCCTGGCCACCCCTTTAGAACCACGAATGGTTATAGCCTTCTTAGCAAATGATATACACCAGATGGATGTAAAGGCCACTGCACACCAGCGTAGCGTCATGTAGCAGAATGCTGCTAAAGAATGCCAGCAGGGAGAGACAATAAAAGTTAAGGTTCATTTTTACACTCTACTCATATTCACAAACTGGCTGTTTTCGAGCTGAAGGACACAAACTGAAAAAGGCTCAGACAGTAATATTAGTTGAGATAACTCACCATTAGCATGTGTCTCTTCACCTAAAAGACTGGCTGCCTTCCTCTGTGTAAATTTCAAGTCACATGTGATCTACTGTGGCTTTCTGTGGTCTCAATATGGCATTAGTTTAATGTAGTAATGACAAAATGCTGTGTGGCATGCTGTGATGCACTGAGACTTTTATTATTTTTCAGAGAGTAACTAAAAAGAAATCTAGTAAATCATCATTCAGAATGAGCATCTCAGCAGCTATGCCCTGAAGCAGTATTCTAGACAAATTCTACATTATACATTCTACATCCTTACTAGTCGCACAACAGGGAAAATTCACCTCTGCATTTTAACCCATCTGTGCAGTGAAACACCCACATACACACTAGTGAATGCACACACACTAGGAGGCAGCGAGCACACTTGCCCAGAGCGGTAGGCAACCCTATCCATGGCGCCCAGGGAGCAGTTGGGGGTTAGGTGCCTTGCTCAAGGGCACTTCAGTCACGTACTGTTGGCTCAGGGGATTGAGCGGGCGACCTTCCAGTCACAAGGTTCCCTAACCTCCAGCCCACGACTGCTCTAAAATGCCCCGTTACTGCTGGCTGTATCGCTCCTATCAATTGCAGTTCCCGTTGTACACTACATTGCCAAAAGTTTTCACTCACCCATCCAAATCATTGAATTCAGGTGTTCCAATCACTTCCATGGCCACAGGTGTATAAAACCAAGCACCTAGGTATGCAGACTGATTCTACAAACATTTGTGAAAGAATGGGTCGCTCTTAGGAGCTCAGTGAATTCCAGCATGGTGCCGTGATGGGATGCTACCTGTGCAACAATTCCAGTTAGTGAAATTTCCTCACTACTAAATATTCCACAGTCAACTGTCAGTGGTATTATAATAAAGTGGAAGTGATTGGGAACGACGTAGTAGGCCACGTAAAATGACAGAGCAGGGTCAGCGGATGCTGAGGTGCATAGTGTGCAGAGGTCGCCAACTTTCTGCGGTTAATCGCTACAGGTCCCCAAACTTCATGTGGCCTTCAGATTAGCTCAAGAACAGTGCGTAGAGAGCTTCATGGAATGAGTTTCCATGGCCGAGCAGCTGCATCCGAGCCTTATATCACCAAGCGCAATGCAAAGCATCAAATGCAGTGGTGTAAAGCGCCGCCACTGGACTCTAGAGCAGTGGAGATGTGTTCTCTGGAGTGACGAATCATGCTTCTCCATCTGGGTTTGGCAGTTGCCAGGAGACGGTACTTGTCTGACTGCATTGTGCCAAGTGTAAAGTTTGGTGGAGGGGGGTTATGGTGTGGGGTTGTTTTTCAGGAGTTGGATTCGGCCTCTTAGTTCCAGTGAAAGGAACACTTAATGCTTCAGCAGACCAAGAAATTTTGGACAATTTCATGCTCCCAACTTTGTAGGAACAGTTTGGGGATGGCCCCTTCCTGTTCCAACATGACTGCGCACCAGTGCACAAAGCAAGGTCCATAAAGACATGGATGACCGAGTTTGGTGTGGAAGAACTTGACTGGCCTGCACAGAGTCCTGACCTCAACCCGACAGAACACCTTTGGGATGAATTAGAGCGGAGACTATGGGCCAGGCCTTCTCGTCCAACATCAGTGTCTCACAAATGCGCTTCTGGAAGAACGGTCAAAAATTGCCATAAACACACTCCTAAATCTTGTGGAAAGCTTCCCCAGAAGAGTTGAAGCTGTTATAGCTGCAAAGGGTGGGCCGACATCATATTAAACCCTATGGATTAAGAATGGGATATCACTCAAGTTCATATGCGTGTGAAGGCAGACGAGCGAATACTTTTGGCAATATAGTGTATTTTAAATACAATCTGAAGAATTCCTGCAAGTGCTCCAGGCATTTAAATGCAGAGGTCGGTTGTAAGTAGTTCCTGAATGTTTTCATATTGTAGCTTCCCACTTGACCATGGACAAGTGGGAGCCGTGGCCATGCAGAGCAAATCTTGTAAAATAAGCTGTTGCTGATCAGTTTAAGAGGTTTACAGGTGTTGCTTGTGCTGTTCTGTGCTGGGCTGTGGGGTAGGGGGATGACTGTGTATCCTCAAGAAAGAGCATTCGCAATGTTTCCCGTGTCTCCTTTCACTGATATTTTAATACATTTACTTCTAGTTATTTAATTCCTGGCTCCTTTTTCATGTTTCATTTCATTAAGTTACATAGGTGACACAAGCTGCTTTTACCTGAGACTTCATTTTACTAAAATATCAATACTTTATATGAGCATGGGTTTAGGCTACTCTACTTTTTTTTAGGAAAAAAAAAACATGTCCTGTTACCTCTTCATTTTTTGCATTCATTTATTCTGGTTGTTGGTAGACGCTCCCTTACCTGCTGGATTTTACAAGGCAGGGAGCCGGAGAAGTACCAGCAGCAAATATTGATGTGTAAAAAACGACAGATGCCTTCTCAGGATGAGGATGAGAAAAAAAAGAGCTGAAAGAATATTAAAGGAGGTGAAGAGCGTCCCTCATCCCTCTTCACCTCTTCCTCATCCCTCGTTCCGTGTGTGCTAATGACTCTCACAGTGAACACATTTAACAGCGCGTTAATTACAGGGGGTGAAGGGAAGTGTGTGTGTGTGTGTGTGTGTGTGTGCGTGTGTGTGTGTGTGTGTGTCTGCTCATTTCTGGGTGCGTCTGTGTGTTTTAACATGCATGTGTGTATGTGTGTGTGTGTGTGTGTGTGTGCATATGTGTGGGTTAATTACAGAACGGTGACAAACCATAAGAACATCAGTGACAAATTTTGCTCATATTCAACTTCAATATGCCACCCACCCTCTTTCATCCCTGCAGACCCGCCAGAGTGTGTGTGTGTGTGTGTGTGTCTGTGTGTGTTAGAGAGAAACCCCACACGCGCCACTCCACTGAAACATGCCAAATGAGATTCTGAAATAACGAGATTCATGGATCTTCTCTCCAGCTTTTCCTCTGAGGCAACACGTCTGCTTCCCCTCCCTCTCTTCCCTACTCTCTCTCTCTCTCTCTCTCTCTCTGAGCCAGTGGAACTACATGAAGAGTGAGATCATGGTGGGAAACAAAGAAGATTTGTGTTTACTGAAAAAGAGGAAAAGAGATGAGCAAGATAAAACCATGATCTTCATGCATTTTCTCTCTCTCCTTTTTCCCTCTCTCACCCTCTTTTTTCTCTCTCCTTCTCTTCTCTGTCTCTCCATTTCTGTCTCTCTTTCCTCTATCTTTTTCTCTCTGTCCCTTTCCTTCCCCCTCTCTCTCTCTCTCTCTCGTTTTCCATGCTCAGTGCTCCTCATCTTGTTGTTCTATCTCTTTCATACCCTCTCCTCTTATTTGCAGGTGTGTAAGTGTACGTGTGTGTGTGTGTTGCGCAGACGGACTGAGTCGCCTGTT